TGTTGCAGATATACTGCCCAAATTATGCTCATTGTAGATTCAGCTCCCTTCATTCTCTTCAGTGGTTATCGATTTCAACCAAAATATCTTTTTATAGTCTAAACATGAAATGTGAGGCTAGACTTTATTTTTCTGATCTTGTATTCCACTTCACAAATAAGAGAATTCTAGTAATGTTTTTAGTCATGTTGCTAAGTATATTTAAATGAAGAAATGTATTAATGTATTGTTCAGAGAATTATTGTACTAATGAAAAAAGATTCTACTGCCTTATAGAAAATTCTATGTACCATGCAATATGGAATTCCCTAAAGGCAAATACGCGTTTCCCCCAGTTATGTCTGTACCCATTAGACAAACATTGCCTGTTCATGTTCAGTTTATTCTGCTCTATTTTTCTATTTGTGCATTGCATAGTGGATTTATACTTTTTAAAGGAGTATAAATCTAAGGAGTCTCTGAAAAGGATCTGTGAATGAATTGGATAAATGTGTATGATCTCATCTTTATTACCCGTAAACAATTTAAGCAAAGTGAATTTTAAAGAAGTCTCATTTACAGCAGCTATGTAACAAATATTAGAAAAGTTGCCTACTATTGTTTTTTTGGTTTTTTGTTTTTTTTTTGCATGTGTGGTAACCTGAAGTACCCACTGTTTTGATTTCTAATGTTGCAATACATTTTCTATGGAAACTATGAATTTATAGCAAAGCCTGTTGCAATCTATTACTTACCTGTTAAATCATGTTGGGGGGAGGGGAGCAAGCTACCTTAAACTCCTATAAAGTACAGAAAACTTCTATTTGTTCCTCCTTCATAACAAGTGTAAACTGTTGAGGTTAAGTAGGTGGGGCAACCGGAAGTAATTACTAAGGCCAGTGGCATTTTTGCGGTTTAATAAAGGCAGAGGCTAATTATTCAGTTTTTATTTAAGTGAAATGATGCCAAAAAGGAGGTTCCTGCAGAGCAGCTGCACTCCTTCAGTGTTACCCTAATTTACCACAGACACAACTGTCACAAACAGAACTTTTAAACTTGATATATAGCCACGAAAGTAAGGAGCCTTTTGTCTGAAGTGCATGCAGAAGAACTCCTTTATACAAATCAACCGGCAGATGACGGACAATGATGAAAATTTGATTCTTTGAAGTCATAATGGTCATTGAAATGTGTGAAATTCTGGTATTGAAAAGAGAGCGGCTAGCAAGACTCTAAATCCTGGGTGGTTGCTGGAAGCTTGCTGGGAGGTTTTTCTGCATTTTGACATCAACTTCCCATTGCTTGTTCCCTGCTTCCTTTATTTAAAAAAGGGGGAAAAGTTAAACAGTAGATATTTTGATAGCAGAATTACACACAAACTGTGTGTATGAGAGAAAGTGGAAACAAGATGCTTTCATGTACACCTGACTTGTATAAGTAGAAATGCCAATGTTCTTAAATGTTGTAATTATACTCATTCCACTTAGATTTTAGAATTATTTTTCAAGATTTGATTTTATGTAATAATGGGGGTCTTGAAGAGTGGAATGATTCCCTCTCCCTCC